GGGACAGGCCGGACTGGGCTGGCGACGCACACCGTAGGCTTGGTGCGTGGAGCAGGGACAGGCCGAACCGGGCTGTGGAGACGGATAGGGGGCCTGGAGTGAAGAGCGGCCACAACCCGTCCTGGCTGAATGCCTACCCTCACACACTCTGTGTGAGGCATCCGCACAGGACGTACAGGGCGGTGTACCCCTGGCCTGGTGGCCTCCTGGATCCGCCCCATCTTTGCCTCCGTCAGCCCCGTCGTCCATGCCGTGTGCCCCCCCCTAAAAATTTTCTTGGGGTTGCCTCTCGACCGTCCGACGATGATACTGCTGACGCCGCTGCTCCTCTCTCGCCAGGGCCTTAATCCTTGCCCATGGCCCTTTGCCCCCGAGCATGTCCTCCCAGGACCACGATTTGCCCACCTGGGCCATCGCCAGCCTCTCCATCTCCTTTCCTGGCGCTTCCTCCCATGTCCAGTCTGCCTGCTCCTGGACACGCTGCTTGGTCCTTGTATGGTGGGTTTTTCTGTCACGATCGTCAGGGAGAGACCAATGCGCAGCGTGATGAATGAACATGTTACTTTATTATATTAAAGCACGAACAAAAACAATAAACGACTCGTGAAGTCCACGGTGACAATGACCGAACACGGAACAAAAACCCACCAACCCAAAGTGAAACACAGACAGTTAAATATGGCTCCCAATCAGAGACAACCAGCAACCAGCTGACACTCGTTGCCTCTGATTGGGAGCCATATTTAAACTGTATGTTTTCCCTTGGGTGTTGTGGGTTTTTGTTCCGTGTCGGTATTTGTTTACCGTGGACTTCACGAGTCGTGTTTTGTTTGGTATACTTTAACTAATTAAAGTCATGTTTGTTTCACACGCTGCGCCTTGGTCTACTCACTCATACGACGATCGTGACAGGGTGTTGGTTAAATTGTGATTTTAATGAATGGAGCGAATTTGGAGCAGCAGTTTTTTTGCCTTTAAGCAAAGAAGCGGTTTTTAGCGGAGCGGTTGGAAAGGACGTGGAGCGCCGGAGCAGTGCGCAAGCACCACTCCATAAGCGATGAGCGGTATTTCCGACCGCTCAACTCTGCTCACATACTCTGTGCCCTGTAGATGGGGGCACTGTCATCCTATGGCGGCATAGCCATGGTAGCCAAAATAATGGCCTGCCCAGCATTTTTATACATGACCCTAAGCATGGGATGTTAATTGCTTAATTAACTCAGGAACCACACTTGTGTGGAAGCACCTGCTTTCAATATACTTTGTTTCCCTCATTTACTCAAGTGTTTCCTTTACTTTGGCAGTTACGTGTATATTCAACACCTAGTCGCACACGCTTACTTCTTACATTTATGCACACATCAAATCAGGTTACATACCATGTAGCTAGGCCTAAGACCCCTAGACATAACGAGTGCAGCAAAATCAGTAGGCTAGTTATTCTCATAAACAACGTCCCGGAACCAGAGCGTGACAGTACCCCCCCCTAAAGGTGCGAACCCCGGGCGCACCAACATAAAGTCTAGGGGAGGGTCTGGGTGGGCGTCTGTCCACGGTGGCGGCTCTGGCCCCGGTCGTGATCCCCACCCCACCACAGTCACAAACTGCTTAAGTAGCCTCCTCCCCCTGACCACCCTCCAAACTAACCCACCTGGATAAAGGGGCAGCTCCGGACGAAGAGGCAGCACCGGATTAAGGGGCAGCACCGGACTAAGGGGCAGCACCGGGCTAAGGGACAGCACCTGACTAAGGGGCAGCACCGGACTAAGGGGCAGATCCTGGCTGGTTGGCTCTGGCGGATCCTGGCTGGACGGCTCTGGCGGATCCTGGCTGGCGGAAGGCTCTGGCTGATCCTGTCTGGCAGAAGGCTCTGGCTGATCCTGTCTGGCGGAAGGCTCTGGCTGATCCTGTCTGGCGGAAGGCTCTGGCTGATCCTGTCTGGCGGAAGGCTCTGGCTGATCCTGTCTGGCGGAAGGCTCTGGCTGATCCTGTCTGGCGGAAGGCTCTGGCTGATCCTGTCTGGCGGAAGGCTCTGGCTGATCCTGTCTGGCGGAAGGCTCTGGCTGCTCCTGTCTGGCGGAAGGCTCTGGCTGCTCCTGTCTGGCGGAGAGCTCTAGCGGCTCCGGTCTGGCGGACGGCTCTGAAGGCTCATGGCAGACGGGCGGCTTTGCAGGCTCAGTACAGACGGGCAGTTCCTGCGGCGCTTGGCAGACGGACAGTTCAGACGGCGTTGGGCAGACGGGCAGTTCAGGCGCCGTTGGGCAGACGGGCAGTTCAGACGGCGTTGGGCAGACGGGCAGTTCAGGCGCCGTTGGGCAGACGGGCAGTTCAGGCGCCGTTGGGCAGACGGGCAGTTCAGGCGCCGTTGGGCAGACGGGCAGTTCAGACGGCGTTGGGCAGACGGACAGTTCAGGCCCCGTTGGGCAGACGGCAGACTCTGGCCGTCTGAGGCGCATCGTAGGCCTGGTGCGTGGTGCCGGAACAGGAGGTACCGGGCTGAGGACACGCATCTCAGGGCTAGTGCGGGAAGCAACAACAGGACGCACAGGACTCTGGGGACACACAGGAGGCTTGGTGCGTGGTGTATGCACTGGTGGTAAAGGGCTGGAGACACGCACCATCGAGCCAGTGCGTGGAGGAGACACAGGGCTCTGAAGACGCACAGGAAACCTGGTGCGTGGTGTAGGTACTGGTGGTACTGGGCTGGAGCGAGGAGGTGGCGCCGGAAATACCGGACCGTGCAGGCGTACTGGCTCCCTTGAGCACTGAGCCTGCCCAACCTTACCTGGGTTGATGCTCCCCGTCGCCCGACCAGTACGGGGAGGTGGAATAACCCGCACCGGCCTATGTGGGCGAACCGGGAACACCATGCGTAAGGCTGGTGCCATGTACGCCGGCCCGAGGAGACACACTGGTGACCTGCTGCGTGGGACCGGCTTCATGACATCCGGCTCAACACTCAATCTGGCCCGGCCGATACGTGGAGCTGGACTGTACCGAACCGGGCTATGCCTGCGTACAGGAGACACCATGCGCTCAACTGCGTAACACGGTGTCTGCCCGTACTCTCGCTCTCCACGGTCAGTCCAGGGAGTAGGCGCAGGTCTCCTACCTGACTTCGCCACACTCCCTCTTAGCCCCCCCCCCAAGAAATTCTTGGGTAGTACCCACAGGCTTCCAGTCTTGCCTCCGTGCTGCCTCCTCATATCGCCGCCTCTCGGCTTTAGCTGCCTCCAGCTCTTCACGAGGACGGCGATATTCTCCCGGTTGTGCCCAAGGCCCCTTACCATCCAGAATCTCCTCCCATGTCCATGAATCCTTTATGGGTGGATATAAATCCTGTGTAGGTGGATCCTGTTGCCCCTGGACACGCTGCTTGGTCTTTCTTAGGTGGGTTTTTCTGTCCCGGTCGTGTGAAGGAATTGACCAAGGCGCAGCGTGTGAAACGAACATGGTACTTTATTTAGTAAGCACAAAAAACAAGAAACACGACTAGTGAAGTCCACAGTTACAAATACTGTACAGGAACCAAAAACCCACAAAACCAAGGTGAAACCACACAGTTTAAATATGGCTCCCAATCAGAGATAACGAGCCGACAGCTGTCACTCGTTACCTCCGATTGGGAGTCACATGAATACAAACAAGGAAGACAACCACCTAGACACCCCAACCAAACAGCACACAACAAAACGAACACACCCTCTACCCAACCTAACCCACACAACACCCAACAATACAAACACACCCTGGTTCATAAACAACGTCCCGGAACCAGAGCGTGACAGTTATTAGTTTCGTAGCAGTTGCAGACAAGGTTATTATACAGCTGCAACACAAATAGATTTTCTCCATGTTATAGAATAAATATTTATATAAATCCATAAATATGTGAAATACGTTTTTTGTAAATCCCACCCAGGGTTTCAGCCATATCCATTATTCCTTTGGTGGTCTGTCTGGTCAGTGTAGCAGCAGTAAACATTGGAATAATAGAGCGGACTGAAATGTCAAGCCGCTGCATACAACAGAATGGGGCCATGCTTTAAAGCCCACTGAATAATCCCAGACTGGGGTGTAATCAGCGTGAAAGAACAGACCCAAACCTCCCCACAAACACACCACCACAGAGACTGAGCTTGTGTTTGTGTGTGTGTGTGTGTGTGTGTGTGTGTGTGTGTGTGTGTGTGTGTGTGTGTGTGTGTGTGTGTGAGAGAGAGAGAGAGAGAGAGGGAGAGAGAGAGAGAGAGAGAGAGAGAGAGAGAGAGAGAGAGAGAGAGAGAGAGAGAGAGAGCACTCAGTTCAGTTACAGCACGGAGCAGAAAGGAGCAGAGAGGACATGAACAACAAGGCCCTATTTACCCTCTAAGCGTTTTCAAAGAGCTAAATCAAATGGAGACACCACAACAAACATACGTATCCATTCAAGTGTGTTACCATGCTGATCTGCTGAAGGGGATCAATGGAGAAACACTTCACATGATGGTTCTGAGATGTTCAGTGAGACATTCAGTTCAGTGATTGACTATTACAACTGATCTGGTGAAATAATGACGAGGATATGATGTGTGTAACTGTGTGTGTGTGTGTTTGTGTTTTGTTGTTGAGAGAAATTGTGTGACAGTGTGTGTGTGTGTCTTCTGCATGAGTGAAAGACAGTGTGTGAAAGTGAGTGTATGCGTGGCAGGCAGTGGATGGATGTGGAAGGACTTCACTCAGATCATTGGCCTGATGTGCGCAGTAGGACTACATAGCCAACCAAACAAACAACCAAAAAGACAGATGAAGCATTCAAAGTAAACAACATTTAAAGAAGGCAATCTAGGATTTTGATCTCACGGATGGTCAGTCCTTGCACAGATAGCTCAGTCTATGAATTGAGAGTGGTTACATTGCTCCAGTCCCATCCCTCTGCTGTTTACCAAAAAAGCGATGGTTAGTTGACAGCTTTGTTGTTGTTTGAATCCCAGATTGCCCCTTTAAGAAATGCATGATGGAACTCAACAACAACTCACCTCTCCGTGGAAGCTGTACCTTCCCCTGAGGATATCTCTGTAGAGTCTGGGCCGGCTGTCGTCCTCGAAGGGCATGGAGCCGCTGAGTAGGATGTAGGCTATGACCCCCAGGGCCCACATGTCCACCTGGCAGGAGTAGGGCCTCCTCAAGACCACCTCTGGGGCCATGTACTCTGGCGTCCCACATGTGGTCCTCATGGACCAGTCTCTTCTACCGCCACCTCCTCCATCCCTTCCAACTCCACTATCTCCAACTCCACCGCCGCCATCTCCACTTCCACCATCTCCATTTCCACCGCCCACTCCATCTCCACCTCCACCCTCACCCCCTCCAGGATCCCTATTCCCAAAGCTGGCCAGCCCAAAGTCAGTCACCAGCAGGCGTGAGTCGGCTCCAGGGTGGTAGTACAACAGATTCTCAGGTTTCAGGTCCCTGTGTGTGATGCCCAGAGAGTGAAGATACCCCACCCCGGCTAACGCCATCTGCAGGGCTCTGGTGGCATCGCGTTCGGTGAAGTGGCCCTTAGCGATGACACGGTCGAACAGCTCCCCGCCCGTGGCCAGTTCCAGAACCATGTAGACCCTCTGGGGTGACTGGAACACCTCCACCAGCTGCACCACGTTGAGGTGGCTGACCCTGCGTAGCACCCCCAGCTCAGAGTCACACACCTCTCGCCCCTCCCTGGCCTCCACCTGCAACAGGTGTTGAATTTCATTTTATATAATGACACACAATCCTGAATAGTTTGACAACTGATATTACTGCACTTTTAATTTGTTGGTGTAAATGCCCTTACTAATGTTGCACACTTCCTTCTCCTTCTGTTTCTCCCCTCATGAACATTCCCTGCCCCCATACCTCTTCCCTAGGTCTACTGGAAGTGATAGGTTACAGACCTCCATCATCTTGATGGCGAAGGGTTGGCGGGTGGCTCGGTGCTCGACACGTACCACCCGGCTGAAACTCCCCCTACCGATCAGGGCTTTGATATCATACCTGGACAGAGAGGGCAGGAGGGAGAAGAAGAGAATAGTGTTCTGTTCTACTGTATTCTAATCTAGTGAGGTGAGGTCTTCTATGGTAGATAAACATGAAATATGATAGAATATGGAGTCCTCATCATCACTATCATCATCATCAACAACAACATCAGCAAATTAATTAGTCTAAGTACCCACAATGAATTGGCACTGATTTATATAGCTACTACTGATCTTCAAATGTTAACGATTTTTATACAGTTACCTTGCTGTGACTCTGGGATCAAACTTTGCCTTGTACTTGGCCACTTTGTTGTGCCCCTGCCCATCCTGGCCTGTCGGCAGTTGAATGCTTGACGGCGCCTGTGTACCCGTACATCCACTGCTCTGAACAACACTCCAAAGGTCTTTCTGCTTCCCTTTACACTTCTGTAGCTCATTATCTAACTCTTTTCTTTTGTGACTGTAGCAAACTACCGACTTCACGAAGCTCACATAACCGTTTTTAACCGAGGGCTCTGGCAGCACCTTGCTGCTTCCGCAGCCCATTACTAAAGCGCAACTAAAGAAGGAATCGCTGCCGCTTTCAAGAGAAAAGTGACAGTTGTTGCTTGCGTAATTGCGTGCGCTAACAAAAACGTTCACAACCTTACCAGACTCCGTCAGCAGCAACGTCAACTTTAGCCTATACTATAGTACACATAAATGGCTACATTGGTGAAGGCAAGACAGACGGGTGACTGATGCTTAGAATGTGTGAATGAATGGATTCACTGAAAGGGATTTTCTCGCCTTTCTGTCACGCAGGTGCATAAGGTGAGGATGCTCTTCTACATCAGTCAGGTGCCAAAGATAACACGTCAGTATGAGTTGTTTTGAAGCTTTTGACATTCTTTCACTGAGCTCGTTAAAGAATAATCATCTCCGTTTGTCGAAAGAGTGAAATCAGATAGAACTAGGCTATTTCTGGTAGTATTGCCACCCACCCTGGCGCATGATGCTTGTTGATGACAGAGTCACCTAGCGTAGGCCTATTATAGCTTTCATCTTCAATAGTTTTCAGTGTGTGGTGTCTGTCTGCAGTAGCGGTGCGTGGGTAAAATCACTGGAGAAGCCAAACCAGAAAAAATGCCATATTACAACCTACTGTATGTGTTGTGATAATTGCGTTGTTTGCTCTATAACCTGTTCGTTCATATGCCTTGCGACCCTGATATATACCTAAGGCCGAGACAATAAGAAGGTACAGTGGCAGAATAAAGAACAGAGCACTATTCTACCACACCTTTGTTTCATCACAAAACCGGAGAGCAACCTCTGTCTGGTGAAGTCCATAAAGCATAGGCCTTATTGCATGTAACGGTTACATGACCTACAGCATGGTCTAGCAAGTTAATGTTTCTGACATTTTCGGACTACTAAACAACTATTGATTTAGAACCACAGAGAGTAACTGCAAGTCGCAAAGAAAACAGGAGCTGCCTCCACTATTCCAGCACCATTACAACTTAAACATTTCAACATCATCAAATCACCTATGCTAAGTCTAATACAGTGACAACTAAAAGATACCGAAAACAATTTAGTCATTTAGCAGAAGCTCTTATCCAGAGCAACTTACAGTTAGTGGATGCATACATGTATTTTTTGTATTTTTATACATGCTGATTCACCCTAGAAATGCCAACGTCATCCTCCTCTCTTTCATGTTGACAAATTGTATATGACTCTGTCATACAGTACATGCTTTTATTTTTTCTTGTCCTAGGCTACCTGGCTAAAATGTTTGCTAGCTAGCCTAACTTCCTATCATGGGCAATGTTAGCTAGTTAACCTTCTACATCTAGCTACATATTGAACTTCCATCCTCTCATTCCATGGGCACAATGTATTTTATGGTTGGATCAGTATCGCCATTATAATCATTGGCCAGTAAGGAGAATTAAGTAAAACCACAAGTCCAAATCCCTATCTCCATCCATGGCTAATTTAGGAAAGGGCCAATTTTAGCTACCTAGCTAGCCACCACAGGGCAACAACACAATGAGATGCAACAATTCAAGTTGTTTCTGTCAATATCATATTTCTCTGTGATAGGAGTGAAGCAAAATCCAAACTGACTTCCCTTGACACTTTGTTTTGGTGCACCAGCACCATTCACAGTTGGGCTCGCTCAGTTTAGCTGAACGCTGATTGGCTATTATTTAATACTTTTTTTATCAAGGTAGGCCAAATGCTCGCTGGCATCCCTTGCATTCAATGCTACAGGCAGCAACAATGTCATACTCTTTATGACCAGACAGCATCAGATAGATGGCCTACACATACAGAGACAGAGGGCGCTGTTTCGGTGAGATACAGCACATTCAGCCTCTTGCGAAGTGATGGAAAAAATATACATTATTTTATATGTTTTTTTCTATTTTCTTGGTCAATTTTTCATCCATGAATACACGCCGCTGTCTGTCTGTCTGGCACGTCCATAGCACATAGACCAGGGATCATCAACTAGATTCAGCTGCGGGACAATTTTTTTTTTGAGCGGATGGTCAGGGGGCCGGAACAGAATTACAAATAATTTATAGACTGCAAATAAACCGCAAGAAGCCCAAACAGATGAATAAAACATTATCACTTCAAACCTTGCTTACAATCACATATTTACATTTTAGTCATTTAGCAGACGCTCTTATCCAGAGCGACTTACAGTTAGTGAGTGCATACATTTCTTCTTTTTTTTTTCCATACTGGCCCCCCGTGGGAATCGATCCCACAACCCTGGCGTTGCAAGCGCCATGCTCTACCAACTGAGCTACACGGGGCCTACATATATCGCTTTATTATGCATGGTAATACTTTGGAACAGATTTCCAAAATTAAAGTCACTTGGAGCTGATTTGCTGGTGTTTTTGCAATCTTATGACAATTCGAATGTTTTTGATCAGAAAAATTTAACGAATAAAATCACAGCGGGCAAATTTGGGCCGCGGGCCCCCAGTTGGGGAACCCTTACATAGACAGATATGACTGCAACGTCGTCACCATTTCTGTTTCCACATTCAGACACCAGGGTGTGATGTTATTCCTTGTGTGATCGTTCCTTCCTCCAACCTGCTGTTTCAGACCCATTCAGTCAGTCTAAGTTCTGAATAATAATAACAACTGAGTAATTAATTGAGTAGTAGTGATTATTGAGTTGGAATTAATGTATTCCCTCATTCTAGGGTCACTCGTGTCAAGATTTATGACAGGTTCTTTAGCTAGTATAGTATACCAATTCAACTGCCTTCAGATGCACAGCTGATGATCAACCCCATTTATGCCATTCTCTTCACTCTCTTTTTCAGATAAAAATTGTCACAACCTGAAGACAGATATGGCAACATCTGTAAATCTACTACGACTGCTGCTGTACATGGCATTGGAACCTTAGAGGAGGTGACAACAATGGAGGTTTGTTTCAGTGTTTCCTCTGTGTCACACGCTCGCATACACACACACACACAGATTATAGTCTCAACCCAACAGAGGATATACATCAGATCAGCAGCGAGGCGGTAAATCGTCCTTCAGAAGGCCTCCTCAGGGAGTCAGCAGTTCAGTCTTATCGAACCACTATCTGATTACTAAAAGGCTGTCCCCTGTTACAGATTAACCACAATGTGTGTGTGTGGTGTTGTTAATGCAGTTGGCTGTATGTGTGTGTTGGTAATGCTGTTCGCTGCCTGCCGTATGCCGTTGAGTCCTTGGGAAAGTAACGTCATTATAGAGTAGATGGGATGGGAAACACACACACCCACGTACACACACATACACATGCACATATTATGGACTGGTGGGATGGGAATCATTAGTGGAGAGGAGTAGTGGTCAGAGCACTTTTGTTCTGCCTTCAGTTCAGTCAGTCACTTAATTGCTCTTATTATGGTTGGATGATGTAGAATTGAATAGCAATTTGTTTGTCCATCTTGTAAAGGAAATTCGTTTTTTGCTCAGCTCTCAGTAGCAATCACTCTCAGAATGCACAGTAATAGACACAACACACCTTCTGGAAAGAGCACAGAGTTTATTTTGTGACAATAGGGAATTGAAGTGCCCACAGGACCCTTTTGTGAATGTATTCAAAATCATGACGGATGTGATTTTTGCTTTGAAAATGAAATACGTTCAGTTTGACATTGATTGAAAAGTAAGTAAGCTTGATGTATAACTACACGCCCTGGACAGGATGCTACAGTACATTGATTGAAGCTTGAGGCAATCCAAGCTATTGACATACATGGCAATATTTTCGTTTAGAAATGTGTTCTCCAAATTGTTGGGGCTGTTAGAGTAGATACCACTTTCAACTGACCAAAATAAATCATACAAACTTCCAGAGTGTGAATTTCACAAAGAAAACAAAAAGTATAGAATAAAGTCAAAAGATGCCCTGGTTTGTGATAAGAAGTTAATGGTATTTCATATCAGTATGTACAGTGTCCACATTGCACTCCCTGCGACTGCAGAACCCGCATTCAGAGCCCGCTGTTGTGCCCTTGTGACACCACACACACACACACACACACTCTTTTTCAGTCTTTTTCTACTCCCTAAACACAGTAGCCTCCTGTTCACATTAGATAAGAGGTATTTTCCGAGAGGGCCACACTTGGGCAGATCAAATAAATTGTATTTATCAATCTCTTAGATTTGTTCTACCATCCATGGTGTGTCAAGTCCCTCATAACCCCCTTCATCAATAACTAACCATTTACAGTTGAGTTGTATTATCTCGCTGATTAATTAAACCTGTCCTTGATTAATCACTGGAACACCACTCTGTAATTGTTGTTTTGCAGCAAAGAAATTAGCGGCGAGAGAGCATGGAAGTATACACGGTGCATGTTTGCTTATTATGAGCTGTTCAGAGCAGTGAAGGAAGAGAGGTAGAGATCAATGTTTTGGATAACACTTATTTTTCACATTAGTGAAACTTGACCCAAAGCCTTTAATACAATCCTTGGGAATGGTGTAATGGTAACGTTATACTTCTTCCATCACCATCCAGAAGCTATGCAGGGAGCAATAAAAAAGGTGCTGTGGAGAAACACAATGGAAGTGTCCCAAATGACACCCTATTCCCTTTATAGTGCACTACTTTTCACCAAAGCCAATAGGGCTCAGGTCAAAAGTATTGCACTATATAGGGAATATGGTGCCATTGGGATGCAAACAATAGCAGAGAAACAAAACTAATTACATTGACTAGTGAGGCGAGCGCTGGGTTTGTCAGAGGCAGAGAGCGGAGGAGGATCCCAAATGGCACCCTATTCCCTATATAGTACACTATGAGTCCTGGTCAAAAGTAGTGCACTATATAGGGAATAGGGTTCCATTTGGGACACATTTTGTGTCTTCTAAAGGCAGGATCCTAAGGGACGGTTGACGGATACTCCAATTTTCTTTAGACTAGTGCTGCCACACGCACACGCACACACACACACACACACACACACACACACACACACACACACACACACACACACACACACACACACACACACATG